TTATAAAGACACGGATGAATTGGAAAGTCCAGGAATAGCGAATTCCCTGAAATCATGAAGCAGGTGATTTGTAAGTATCCCTTTTCCTACTCCCTTATTTTTATCAAAAAAACGATTGGTAAATTTGCATAAATTCACTCTTAAGTTCATGCTGTATTCTTCCGAATGGAAACCCCAAAAACTATCTTTCTATATACCTAATTAACTCAGCACTGAAATCAAGTTTAATTTAGTTTATCTACTACCTTCGAAACATATAATTTACTTAATATTTGATATCTTCAAAACGTTCATTTTAAAGAAAGACGTTTAACTGACAGATGGAAAAAAGGGAAGAGAGCTCCATTTTCGGAATTTTGCCGTGCATTTCTATTATTGAAGGGACGTGTTTTTTTCTCGCAGAAGTTTGTTGAAAGAGGGCAGTCAATGGAAAATCACTTGGTAATCATTTTAAATTTTCATTCCTGTATTGACATTTAAATGACTTCTAATGATGAATTTTAATGCTTCCAGATGATTTTTTGCATTGATTTAGAAACAAATACACGAATTAATTAATTACAAAGGGGTTGGGGGAGAGAGAAAATTTTCTTCTAACAAACATTCTCTATTTATATTTTTTGCTATCCTTTAATTCTGCTTGACAAACCAAAAAAGCTGCATACCAACCATTGTGGATATTTCCCCCCCCCCCCCCCCCCCCCCCCCCCCCCTCCGTCCTCCCTCCTCCTCTAATCCCCATAAACATTAAAAGGAAAAATTTTTATAGAAATCGAATGATGAAATACCAAGGAAAGATATCTCATTTATGCTAATAATATAATAACTTCATGACGTTTTCCTTGAACCACTCTTAGTTTGAAAATCATCAAGTAGCCTAACCGGTAAGGCCCTCCAATTCTGACGTCACGCTTGAGCAATGCAATTTTGCAGGCGTGCAATTTAGCCTTCGTGCCAGCGAGGGGCACAGGCCATCTTAAGTTATTTATTGATTCATCGAAAGATCTCACCTACCGCGTCAGAACTTCACTCTGTTTAATGTCTTATATCTCTCCTCTGGAGATTTTCAATGTTACTTGGTTATCTTTCGGCTTGGAGATAAGGAACCATTGCTGCATATTAGAAGAATATTAAATGTTTTAGACAGTTGTAAGATCTTTAGGTTCGTTGTTGGTAATTTTCTTACAGTATTAAGAAACACAATTGCATTTACTGCAGAACTTAATGAGAATGTCTGTATATTTTGCATTTTAGAAATTTAGATAAAGTGCAAGTCGTATTATGCGATTTATAGAAAAAAAACTGCTCTCAGTTCACTGCATTGATAGGTGGAAGAAGTTGAGATTGAGACCTGGAAGAAGGGAAACAAGTGAGAGCGTGGAAAAAGGGAGGGAGGGGGGGAGGGTTGAATTAGCTGGCATAACGAAGTAGTCAATAGTAACCACGAAGCTACTTTTGAGAACACAGAAAAAGGATGCATCGAATACACCCGACAACACTACCAGTTGAATAGGCGTAAGGTAAATATGCCAAGCTGTAATGACTTATAATTATAAATCTCTATTACTTTTCTTGATAGGGTGGCATTGACAGAGTAAACACACAAGTACTACTTTTCTGTAAACTGAAAAAAAAATTTATCAGGACAGGATACATGCTTTTTTTCATAAACAAACAAATCTTTTGTGAATTAAATTTTCTTTATTTTTTCCTCCCTCTGAGGTCTAATTTGATATTTTACAAATAGCAGACTCTTCAATTTTAAAAATGCGTTATAAAAATATATTTATGGAATACGTCCGGCTGTTACAAATCACTTAAAACATTTTTTTTGTTTTTATATATTGCCTTCCAATTACTTTAACTAGTGTTTAATTCACTTATAATAATGTATTTTGTCACTATTTATTACCATCATATTAGCTGTTCTCATCTTGAGAAAGCAACTATAATTGATTAAATAATTTCAAAAAAAATTGAATCCGTTTTAAAGGATGAAAAATTTACTAATTGAATGCTCTATTCAAATCTGTTTGTTCTGCCGACTTGATCTGAATTTTATTCTACTGTAGAATTTGCATTTTAAGTTCCAGATTTTGAATCTGTATACTTGACATTCAGTTGACATTTTTTACTATCAATGTGAAGCCGATTTTGGGTCTTACTATAATTAGCTTCAAACGTTACTACAATTCGTTTTATATTTGACAATTGTTAAAGTAGCCTTGAAATAGGCGTAGCAAGTCCCCTAAAAGAAAGTATTTAGTCATTAACCGTGAAGTCCATTCTTGTTAACTGTGATATATGTTTTAAACATAAGAAAGATTGAAGCTAATTCCAGAAAATGCTTAACTAATTTAAGCGTTTACGATTGTATTTATTTTATTTTAAGAATTAAATAAAGAGCACCAATATTTTAAAATTCACTTAGTAAACCTTACTCCGATTGGCAAAGTTAATGATTCCCACTTTTAACATCATTAAAGTTGCTTATCTGATAACGGTTAAAAGGGTTCCAGGTAGTAGGGAAGGCGTCATTTTCGCAATTATTATTCCTGAACGGATATCCTTCGCTCTTTATAATTATTTTTTTTTCACAATTGGGAAATTGCAACGACATAACCCGCCCCCCCCTCCCCTACAAGATACGATGTTCGTACTTTGTTGGAACTAAGTATTGAGACACATAGCAACTATTTGGTTGGACAAACGTGATTAGAAAGCAACAGTTGGAACACAGTCATGACGATATTGGCGTCATACACATATTTTTACTTGTCCTGTCTGCCAGCCAGACACAGGCAGGAAGCGATCGAATAAGCGAACCATTGGGGGGTGGGGGTGGGGGGAAGTCAGCCACTTTCATAATTCTATTGGCTATATTTAGCCGTGGCGCCTACGACAGAGGAAAAGCTGACTCTCCAGTTCCTTCTTTCACTTAAAACAGCATGTCTACGCAGACGTGGTCAAGGGAACGTTAGGATTTGGTGGGTTTTGGAAAGCACTCTTGTTTTAATTAATCTTGTCAGACGTATCATATAAACTTGTGCAATGCGGTAATTTAAACATGAAAGGTAAGTAAAAGGAACTTGAATAGTTAACGAATTAAATCAGAGTCCTTTCATGACCATATATTTATGAAACAATAGGCGAACAACGTAAGAAGGTATTCTTAAAATTTAACCTACAAAAGTTTAATAACTACGCTCTAAAGCTACTATTTCATTATCACAATAACTATTGTTGTTATATCAAATGACAGGCTTTATGGTATGTATTATTGGCCCCTTAGTTGACTTTGGCTTTCAAAAGGGTGGAAGACGGTGGGTGGAGGGGGGGGTGGGGGAAAGAACAAATATAGACTCTTGGATAGTTAACAGTAGTGCATTTGTTGACTTCTGGCTTCCCACTATCTCTGAGGTTCTGCCGTTGTCTTTAAGGCTGAAAACCGAATCAGGTGGGTCATCTCCATTTCCTCCTGTAGGTCACATATGACACATGTTTGTTGAGCGCATACTTCTATTCTGTAAAGGTGGTCACCAGGCAATCGTATCCGGTACGCAGTCTATATTCTGCAATGTTGGAGAATGCAACTGTCCACTGCTTCTTCATTGTTCTAGTCTTAAGTTCGTTGCTTCTTGAAGTGTTTTATTCTCTCCTGATTAAGGTCTTTATTGCTTGGAAAGACATCGGCCGGTCTAAACCTTGCCTAAAATGCCACAGTGTCTGCGATTCTACTGAAGAACTACTGTTTTGTCTTTTTTTCTCTCAGTAACTGATACCGTTTTTCGCATTCGTATATCTCAGCTGCTTTGGGTGGTTCTCTGTTTTCAATTGAAGTTATTGCTGAATGCAAGTCCGATAGATCGCAGTATAATGTTAGCATTAAGGGCACTGCAATATTGTTAGTAACTCCATTATTGTTCCACAAATTTTGCAGTCGATTGCGCGAGCCTAATCGGAAATGCAAATTACAAGAAAATTTAAATTAACTAAAACGAAAGTGGAATATCCTCTAGGCATTTATGCCTATTTTCATTGCCATGAGAGAAACAAATAAATTAGTTATAGTACTGTCAGGTAATTTATCATTCAAATTAAATCCCTTAAATGGCAAAGCAAACTTAGCCCACTGCAAAATACACTTCACCTTTTCTTTCTAAATAAGCAATTTTATTAACATAATATGAAATAAAATCATGAAAATTGAAATCGCTACAGTAGACTTTCATTACTCATTACCCATTAGAGCAGTGTAGAGACGAGTAAGCAGTGGTGATACATAAAAAATTAATATTACTGACAATGAAGTCAAGACTATCGGAGCTAGTCTCGCTAGGCACGAGACCATTGTTGTTTGCCGTTGATACTTCCACTCTCTTTGGAATTTCAGCTACCCCAACAAGTTTTGGTAATTTCGAAACGTGTATTTCAGTGGGAATTAATTGGACACCGACTGTCATTTGGTCCAATTGTGATGCAATCCAATCTGCGATGGCAGGCGTCTACCTGACGCCTGACACCTGACTTAGAACACTCAAAGTTTAATGGCAGCACTTGAAGAAAATAAGAGTCAAGACACTTGGTCATGTCCAAATTATTCTTGCTGTGGCAAAATAAATAGCTTTATTACTTAGTAATTAGCTAATGCTTCACAAATAATTTTACGAACAACAAACTAAACCAGGATGATCATTTTTAGACATTTACAAATTCGATGCAATACATCGAACAATAGTGTAAAGCAAAAAAAATATATGACAATATTATCCTCCAAATTAGGCACTAACCCTGATTTATGTAATATTTACAGGATAAAGCAAAACATCTTGCCTTCTGTACATTATGCCAACCAATAATCCAAAATGTTAGCATATTTTAACAATTGAGTAAAAATTAAAATAAATAATAATAGTAATAAATACTTAATGTTGTTGTTGCTTCAATCCCGTTTTCAGGATAGTTTTAGTCATATTCTCCGATTAAAACTGATTTATTTAATGGGCTTTTCATCTTTAATTGCAGGTACCTATTATTGCGTGAACATGTTTCTAGTAACCCTGTCAACCTTCCTCTGTCTGATCGTTGTGAACTGTCATTTCCGCGGTGACAGCCATTCAGAATTACCACGTTGGGCCAAATTGGTAAGTCGCTCATACTCGTTAGTTACCTCTCTTGATTTTGTGCATCTTCTATGCCAAGCATATTTTATGTGTCAAACATCAGCATTCACATTTTGTTGATATAATTATCATGCAAAACAAACAACTTATCGCCTGTGGTTATAGCAGGCCTCTTTATCCTTTATACCAAATGATGAAACTAGTTCAATTAATATAACAGGATTTGTGGAAGCTCAGGTTCAGTTCTACTTTGTTAACAAAGAACCTGAGTTCTATTAGCAATTTTACAGATTGAAGTGTTATATATATATATATATATATATACATGTGTGTGTGGGTGTGTGTGTGTGGGGGGGGGTGTGTGTTTAAGAAGCAACTAGATGGCAATAGACAGCTGTTGGCATCATTTTTATATCAAATGAATAAGAGGCCTGCCTAATCCTGCCTAAGAGAAAACATAGTGGCACCTTCTAACTCTGTAATAGACCATTAAACTCTGCTATCCACTCTGTTGAATTCGCCTTCTAGAGTTACCTTCTTTTGAGGTGCCTACCATAACGTCTTGATATTGATCAAAGGAGCATATGCATGCTAGAATTTGCTCGAAATTGATAAAGTGGTGTTAAATTCGAAGAGCTAAAGTGGCGGGGGAAGGCAAAACTAGACTGCACACAATTTTATGAATCTGATGGACAGGTTGAACAAACCTCAAGGCCTTAAGTGATTAGAAGTGCCTAGACGTAATACCAAAAGCATAAGCCACTTTTTCCTCACTAAAATTTTCATTGCACTTAAATCCTCACACCTAGAAATATGACTCCGTTATTCATTGGTTTGAAATATTTGTGAAAGGGTACATTTTAATTAAGATTCCAAGTGATTGATGATTAATTACACTTCTTATAAAGCTATTTTCATGTACCCATTCAATTTGACTGGGCGGTAAAGAGTTCTGTTTTCTTTCGAGATTGCAAAATGACATTGTGCATTTGTCACTAGGAACCAGTCTAAAGTAGTAATTGGTTTAATAGAATAGGGTGTACGGTTCAATATATATATATATATATATATATATTATTTAATTAAATCTTAGTAATTTTCCACTTATCAAGTTAGATCAGTTGACTAGTATTGAATGGCAAAACAAATTTTCTTGCACCTAAACAGAGGAGGTACAAAGAAAAATGCCCATATATGAACCAGCGATATTTTTTGTTTATTTGATTGTTGCTACAAGTTGCATGATGTTATTTCTTGATATAGGTTGACTTTCCCATAAGAGAATTGTCTGCTGACAGGAATTGTCAGTTCCTGGTTCCACATGACATACCGGATATTATATGAAGGTGAAAATGATTAAATCCTTATGCATACTTCTACCCCCAGTTAATGGAAGTCATCATCAGATGTACTACAGATCTACCTTTAAATTTTTGGTTTTTAAGTGCTTCTATTTTCGCAGTAAAACTGACCTCAAAATAAGAGCAATTATGCTAATTATTAGAATTTTTATGCTCCAAATAGTCAATGATTTCGACCTTCAATTTCGCATAAAAGCATTTCATAAGCAAGCTTTTTTCATGGTAATCGATTTATTATAATTCCATGGGGACTGTAATGAAACTTTGCTCATTTGTAATATTTTGAATGGCACATGAGAATGCAATGACTACCGGACACTCTCAGCTCCTTTCAGTGGGAAAGATAAATGCGGTTTGGTTTCACTTAAGACGGTGGGCAGGCAAGCGTTCATGCGCATCAAGAAGTTGGCTATAGTGGGAGCGGATTGAAATCACTGAATAATAAGTTGAATACATCATTGTATTGGTATGAAACGACGTTGTACGAAAGTGAAGCATCACAATGAGGTAAATGATAGCATGCAGTAAAGTTATTTATAAATCACTGACTTTAAATCATCATATTATTGTATAATGCGCATTTATAAATCCAAAGTTGCGATAAGAGTGTCGACTACCCCTTTATAAATGTTGGTTCATATATGTGCAGTTATAGATTTATTGATTGATTATTCTATTATTGCTTGAAAACATGCTCTAAAGTTGAAAAAGTTCAATAGAGACTGATAAAACAGCTTCTAGCTGATAGGGTAATTATAACGTTTGTGTTTGTACGTCAGTCTGATTTAGACAAAATATTCATGCCAATGATCGAAACGACCACCAGTATCGATCTCAATAAATGGATATCTTAGTGGGAAACTTCTCAATCCCAGAGCTATCAAAGTGTTATAATAGCCTGACATCAAAATATCCAAGACCTCATGGTTTGGGCAAATCTAGATAAACAATAGGCCTAGTTAGATACCAGATGGAATGCATTATGTGATTTTTACAAACAGGTCATTTTACCATGAAGGCTATAGTCGGATTTCAGTCCAGATATGAATAGAATGAGATTGAATTTCTTCACAGCACAAACGCAGTAGAAAAGATTAATTCCGTGATCGAATCTTCAATGAAAAAATGAGATATTAGTGAAATTACTATCATAATCCCATATACTAAACGATAGTATTCCTTTATCGGTTACTACAGCTTTGAACGAATTCCTCAATGTCAATCAGTGAGGTACATGATTAAATCTAACAAAGAGTTCTATTACTCATATTATTTAATAGCAAGCACAGCTGGAAGGTTAGTGTAATTGAGAGGTTATATTTGAGCATTAGTGGTATCATTGGCTGAAAAGTGGGCGAGTGCTGCAATAGGTAGGATATGGATGAATGAAAGTCTGGTGGAACTTCGATTAGTAAATGCATTTGAATTGTTGCTTCTAGAATCCATTTTTCTGAGCTTCTCTAAATATAGAACATAGTCTCTCATTATGAGATTTTACTTAAGAGGTGTTTAGATTCTCCTCAGATATGTAAGGTTGCAATTATTTACCATGACATTGAGACCCAAATAACGATGGACATGAATTCGGCATTGATTTCACGTGTGGGCACCTTATTGCATGGAACTGAGACAGATTCAGAGAAAAGGGGGCATTTGAGTGCAGTCAACTGACTCGAAAAAAAGTAGGCTCAGCTTCTACTTTGGGATCTTTGGAAAACCGCAGGTTGCAACAATTTGCTCTCTCTACACACCATCTAAATTTTATGATTTTGGAGACTATAATTTGTAAAGGAATTCACGATATTACTTCGTTACTATAGTTTTTTAACCAAAAAATATAATTATCAGCAAATACCTTCAATAAAGTCTAAAGTAATGTATTTGACTACCTAAAAAGATGCTAAGAGTTGCAACACCAATGGTTAAAATTCATGAAAAGTTGAATAGAGAAATGAACCCCTTCCCCCTACTCTCCCGCCTCCACTGTCTCCATTCAAGTAAGTTGAGAGAAATCTCCAGATAATTAAATCCACAAATATATGTAGCGAGTCCTTTGAATATTATAAAATCAATTTACTTGTTTGATATAATCTAATGATTGCCTTGTCCTTTGAGGTTAAAATTATAAAAATTGAAATTTAAAAAAAAGTGAGTAGCTTACCTGATCGCAGATTGTCGGTTTGAGTAAAAGGGAGTATTATCGATATGATTTGAGCAAAAAATTACAATAAAAATCTTGATTCTAAACTTAGAAATTTCTACAAAGCTACGGTTGCGTTTTGTAATTTATTATTTTGAACAAGGATTATTTACGTATTAGATTTGTAGATATTGATATTCAAGAATGAGGGATTGCATTCTCATGTCACTATCCTGTTCCAAATAGCCCAGTCGAAGTAGAAAATCTAAGCACAAATTAGCCAATGTAATTGACACTGTCGCATGCAACTTGATGGCTGGTGTGGGCAAAGGAAATTCGTCTATTTACTTGTTCAAAGAAGTCGGAAAATCAAAGCTTATATGATTCCTAAGCAGCATCACCCCATGAAGTAGCATTTGCAGAACTATCTCTATCCGTTTCTCTTGCCTTTACATAATGTATTTGTTCTTGAGATGACTGTTTCAAAAGCAATTGAAGTCACAAAATGGGAAAAAATTGTTTACATATTTCTTCCTTTCAATGCTTAGATATTTCTTGTGTACGGAGCCCGCATCTTTTTCATCAATTCCGGTCCAGCCAAAGCCACTTCCAACACAGCGGCAGCGACATCGAAGTCTAGTAATACTGGAGGAGGAGGTGGTAGTGGTGGCTTTTCTAGAAGAGCAGGTGATATACCCCTTGCTGAAACAACGCGCACTAATAAGTTAACGCGATCCGCGGTCGCAGCAGACCATTCAGCTTATCGATCGGCATGCCATTTACCGTCTAATGATCAAATAGGAAGATGTCATATGCGAGATTCTTATCGGGGTAAACAATCAGCGTTTATGGATTTGTTTAATGATTTTTTCACTGTTTATATCTTGCATCCCAAAGTAAATTTTGATGAGCTCTATTCATGAAATCGATCGATAGCTGATGGACTACTAGAACTTAGGTAATAAAATGTAATTCTTCTTGAAATGCATAAAATACTTTAAAATACATAGTGGAATTTGTAAATCACTCAAATCCTTACGGGAAGCCTTCCAAATTGGCAAAACGCAACGGATTTCCTCTACTGCTGCCAAAATAGATTTTTTCGTAAAACAAAATAAAATACCCTTCATTGATTTTCGACAGTTGACTGGTTCTGAGTCGAGACACTGTCATTAAGCTGAATTTTAGTTGGCGGCTAAATTATGTGAAAACAAGCCATTTAAAAGTGGACTATTAAGTTAAGTTGCGTTATTATATATTCATTTCCTTTCACATATTTTTTTGCAAAATTAATTTATCAACATTATCTCTTACTAAAGCCTTTATAAATATCTATTCTGATCAATGTACAATCCTAGGAAAAAATTAGGCCAAGAAGTCTCATGCGCGTTCGAACATTCTGGAATACGAAACCGTGATGTGATCGCAATACTTGTATCGCTCATCATTTGAACCGGTCTTTTAGGAACTGTGATCCTATAATAAAATCCTGGGATAAAAATTTTATCCTTATCATATTAGGGTGCATAAGAACTTTCACTTAATGACTTCTAAATTGTGGCTACAAGGTTTGGAAATGCACTTTGACTAAGCACTTAATTATATTAATAAATGACTAATTTGCACAAATACAAAAGTCGATATATTTGCATAAACACTTTTATTAAAAGAGATTAAGAGTTAAATAACCTTTTCCTAGACAATTTATTTAATGACTGGTCGATTTAAATTTAATTATTATTCATTAAATGCTAGGTAAAGTTTAAAATTTTCATTCTTGGAATGCATTTGAATAGTTAAAACGGTTACCATTACAAGATCGTTTATCAATGAAGTACAATTGAATGCGTAATTACGGTTAGTTAATTAGGATGAGAATTCTATTTTGGCATTCAGTTCGGATGCATTTTTCCTCATCCCCATCCTCATTAAAATGCCAGGGTTTGTGTCAAGGACATCTTAAGGAAGACGCTGTCGCATCGTAAAGAGCTTTTAGTGATCAGCAATTTAGGAAGCTATTTTTTTCAAAATCATGGCCATCAATAGCCCAATATGACAATAAAGTACATGCTCATTATACTTCACTCAAAATAAACTCCTAACGAATTGAATCAGATGATAGGGTTTACCCAAATACTTCGACCTCAGTTTTTTAGATTAATCATTTTAAAGGCACTATTGGGCATTATTTTACATATTTTGGACACGTTCTGTCAACTCCGATTGAAGCAATAATTAAAGAACAAAAGCTATACTCTGGACTACGGAAAATTTTGTCGCTCTTCGCACCTTGGAGGTTTGATTTCCTCCATGAGATGAAAATTTGCCGTATTCTTGTGGGAGCGACTTTTACTCCCGACCCACCACGTCCCCCCGCCTACCCCACCCCCACCTCTTCACTTCATTATTGTTCATTCATTTTGGCCGATCTGTTCCCTTCCCTCCTCCTCCTCCTCGTCTTTTTTTTCCACAAATCAAGACGATCAATTGCTAGATTTGGGTGTTTGCGTGACCAAGTGACTTTATTAACGTCTTTTGTATAAATCAAACTCGCATCTGTTTCTGTTGCTACTCCAAAAACAAATTTTTCACAAAACTAAATTTATGGGTGAGAAGTGGCTTGCCGAATTTCGTGACTTAGTAGACAAGAGTAGTATTTGAATCAAACTTAGCTTGATTTCAGACGCTTGTAATTTGATAGGTGGTGACTCAGCGGTAATAGATTTTGATAATCGAATAAGGGTTACCGCAGATTGCTAATTGCGGCCTTTCTTGGCTATTGTAATAAATCAAAGACCTCTTCAACACAATCACTTACATAACACAGCTTCTTCGAGGTTGATCGAGGCTTTACTCGTCAAATATCGTTTATAATAATGGATATTAGAAATTAAATGGTTTAAAACTCACCTAGTGAGATAACGATTTTGTTTAATTCAAATGGAGGTTTCTCCGGCAACCAAATTTTCTAAAGAGTAACTTTTACTGGCTGATGTTAAAGTTTGAAGACACTTTGTTTGAATATAGGAATGGTGTTGATTTGTTCAAAGGTGCATACTTAGATCAAATTATTTCGAGAATGGGCAAGCAATTTACCCCATCACTAGTTCGAGTATGGGAAGTTTAGAAAACTGCAAACGGATGATTGCATACAGTGGTTACTGAACTTGCAAAGTTAGGGGCCACAGGTTAGATAACCAACGGGACGCATTCCATAAGCGCGAAGCAAAACTCACCGACATGGCTGCGAGACTCAATTCTGGTGTCAAAATGCTTCCATATAAGCAATTACGCATTCTTTTGAGCAGAAATAAGAATAATAGTTGCATGAATACTTTTTCAGAACCTTCTAGTATATGACAAGAGGAGCTGTAAGTCACAAGGACTCGTGATCCTTAGAGTTGAAGTCAGTATTATTGCTACTTAATGTGAATGCCAAAACTCAGTACTTTTAATTTTCTCGCTGCTAAATCAAAGCTCTAAAGAGTGTCAAAAGGAAGGAACGTTGATCACAAGGCTCTTCGATGCCTTTTATAAGTACTAAGCAAACTCTTAAATGGATTTTATCAAGTCTTATAAAAGTGAGAGAGATGAGGAAAGAGATTAGCTGTGTCATCGATTTCACAGTGATCAATATGTTCATTTGACAAATTGCAAATCGCGAGATCGACTCCCACCTTCATGTTTTCTCCATTGTTAGACCAATCTCCCCGGTTAATTCGAGCAGACAGACGAAGTGGTAGAATGTGATTTTCTCATAAGAATGACTCCAAGACATCCCGTCTATACACAAGTCAAGTGCTGTGGACACTTATTCTAATGGGCTTGGCAACTTTTCCCTCTTTTTGACTTTAAAGTTTAAAAGTTAGTTCAAGTTTGCCGAAACCGATTAAAAGAAGTATGTTGTTTCCGAATAATTCTGCATAAACGGTCCAACTAGTCTTCATCATTATTCTGACCAAATGAAGGGGAGGGGGGGGGGGGGGTACGTAGCACCAAGTAGAAAAGAATGCCTTTAAAAAAGATGGTTTACTGAGGCCATTCTTAGTTTTCTTTTCCATTTTGTCTTCTCATAGCTCTTTATCAGAGAGGGAGGGGGAGAGAGAGAGAGGCAAAAAGCAAGAAGTCAAGGCTTGCTCGAGCCCTTACTGCGAAGTAATTAGTCGCATTAAAAGCGTATATAAACGCTCTGCTATCTCTCTCCCTCCCTCTCTCTCTCTTTCTTACGGAGTGTATAGTATTTGTGTCACTTCTAAGCATCTCAGCAACGAGCTGCGCAGTTACTATTTGCCGCAAAGACTGAAGAGCCGATCATATCTCTTCTCCCCTATTCTTATTTATGGGCAAAAATAGCATTTATTTTATTAGTCCAGGTTGAAAAATAAAAGTTGAACTTTTTAGCCGAACAAATTTCAAAAAAAATTACAACTCTACACTTGGGAATTGGAATTATATTTTTGACTGGCTTTAATTGATGACTCGCATTTACAGCGGGTCCTTCAACCCCGAAGAACGCCTAAATATCAATTATAGTTGTTCTCGATGATTCATTATCTTCAAATCCAAAAAACTGGTCACCATCCTTCATAGGTGCTGTAAGCATGATACTTTGCTGAAAATTTGACTGAATGAAGATCTTAATTGGAATTTGTTTCCCAACTACCATGGGGTCAATTTATTTAATTTTAAGCATATTAAGCCTCTGTGGCTCATCTTGAAAAGTTTCAAGAATTAATAATCATCCGCTGTCTGTTCCAAATTTGGGTTTGTTTTGAACAAACAATCTTCTAAATTAGTAAAATTTATGGTAAGATCTTTCATATGTGATGAAATATATTTGTTTTTATGAGTTAAAAATATGTGTAGAGGCTTCACAAAATATACCCGCTCTCGTGCGTCTAAATCTCAGAATGTCTTCATTTTCGTCAGCAACCCTTAAATTCAAAATGTATCAGCTTTGATATTTGCAATTGATTATACCATCGCAACCGTTATCCAATAAAAGGGTGACACTTTTATCTTCAATACATAAATGACTGCCTTTTCCATATTTAAATAAAAGTTGTGAAAAGATTGTAATTACAATGCCGTAGAAATTGTAGTGTTATTGGTTTCTATTTAGTAAGCTCAATTTTTTCACATTTTGCTCTATTCATAATCATCGCATATTTACTGAAACCTTTTTTATCGGTGTTTTCTAAAAGGTGAATGCTAATTTTCTTTAAAACCTAATTATTTCACTCATTTAATTAAGAAATTGGAAGGTTTGGCGATTTGCCAGTTTAGTCTCATAATATAAGCTTATGTTAAAGTTGATTACTTAATAAACAACTAGGAGAGTTAGTTAGTCACGATGAGACAACTGTGACTAGTAATTGTGGACAAAGAGTAAAAGATGAATATCCATAGCCTTTCAGGAGTCAAATTGAGCATAATTGACATAGTTAGAGAATTCTTTAAGAGATTATTCCACAGTGGAAAATTCCAAGACTTCCCACAATGGACAAGAAATTAATGATATAAAATTAAATTTTATATTTCACAATTCAGTTCTCAATAATAGGTTAATAAAGTAATTTCCTGTAAAATTAATCCAAATGTAAAGGTAATAGATATACATGAAAACGAGAGACTGGAATTGCTATTCATTTGTATCCTATCGATATCATAATGGAAACAATTTTCCGAAGGAAGAATAAGTCCATATTTGTATTAAAGTTCACTTCTATTCATGGTTGTTTTAATTACACTTTTTACTAGAACCACAGCTAATTAAATAAAATTTTCTATATCTATCCAATTCTTCATTGTTTTGCCAAAAATAAGTTGTTTCCATTGAATAATTTTGAAAAATCGAGTCAGTTAATATTTAAAAATATTTATTTTGATTGCAATTAAGTAATAAAAAATTAGAATAAATAAAGCGTGGGGATGTAATCCTTGTTAGTGAAGGACATATCATTGATAAACGAAGGCAAAAAACTTAACTCCTCCATGGTACCTAAAAAACATCCTTTCAAATTTAAAACATTAAGTAATAAGAATATGGTTCAACAGCAATGGTGAAAAAAATCCTTCCTTGAGGTATGTAAAAAGTCATGATTCTCATACCAGACGAGTGCAGATCAGTAACGCACATGCAATTGCCGAAGCATGAGAGACTAAAGTTTCACATAGTACGACGAACACAAATGGCCTCACAATACTTTAGATAACGTTGTAGAATAACCATATTTATTTGGAATGGCAGGCGTTTTGGATAGTTATCGTTAGCCCTTTAACTGACTTCGGGCTGCACAGAGGGCGAGAGGAACATCGAAGTGTGAAAAGTCGAGAAGAGGGACAGTAGAGGGATTCACGAGTGTAAAAGAGACAGATACAAAAGAAGAGTAAAAGGTAAGGTAAGAATTGTAGAAGTGGCCGAATGCGACATACAATGGGGTCATGGTAGTTTAAAGTGAGAAGTCAACTGCAGCTTTATAGACTGCTTTGCCGTATGAGTATGCGTTGCCCAGGATGCCCCTCGTGGAGGCAAGTCTATCACACACCCCAATTCGGCATCTCCTCCGTTGCGGACAACTCTTTCGGCTTTCAATGTCCAAATTTGTCTTAGCGAAATTCATTTACTATATGATTCGATATTCCAATTTGCAAACGATTGCGCGTAATTAAATACGTGAATAACAAGCTTAGACGGTCTAAATTAAATTTCGAGCGATTGCGATTTTCTCCATGACAATTGAACCGCATGCCCTGAGCTATCTTCCAACTGTACACCAACCACCTCATAGCACGTGGAACCATTTTTCATACATGTTATCACTAGTCGGTGCGTTCATTATCAGTAATTAGATTCGGAAATAGGAGAGCATTTTTATATATGAAATTAAAACATAGACTACTTCTAAAAATTTTTTTCATCATAATTGTGATGATGCACTACGCAGATAAAACTTAGTACTTCTACAATTGAAATGTACACATATGTTACCGCATTTCATCTTATTAAAGTACTCATAAGTAGCTTAATTGACACAAAATATTCTACCAAATTCTCATTTATGAATAAGAAATAAAAGCTCGTTTCGAAATATATTTAGGAAAAAAGTTTACTTTCTCTAATGAAGTATAAGGATAATAAGTGCATTGCATTGTTAATTTTATTTAGGTAAGTCGATATAAAAAACCCTTTTATGGTGAACTGATTTAATTTAGTTTTGCCATAATAGGGATTTACTCTAATCTTAATGTCTTGTCATTTTAGGCCGATGCAGTTGTGAACTAAGCTGCCATGTAAGTGGTTGCTGTCAGAACTTAAATGAGAATCCTGCCTACTATCAACCGTCTTCCTCACTGTGTCCTGAATGCCATCAACAGCAGCCGATGCAGCGCCATCATAACCGACGAATGGTGGACACTTGTTGTCAGCAGCGTTCTTCCCACCACGACACCACTCATCGTTGTCAACCCTCTCACGCATCGATGAGTCACGCTGCCCAAGCAAGCTGCTCATGTGATGATTGCAACAACTCCTATCGTGAGCAAGAACCCCCATGCCTTCTACCACCCTCCTGCTACCAACGAAATGCTCAACCCAAATCCCCATTTGCTGAAGAGGATACGACTAATCAGACGTGTCCCGCTTGCGCTGCTGCAGCTTCTGCTGATGATTGTGTAATTCCTGACACCTGCTACAGCGATGCTCACTGTACCCCTAAAGATCCAGAAGCGGCTCTTGCAGACGTCTGGGCCTCTGCTGCTCACCACAGGTCTGGACGATCCCTCCGTGGCAACAACCCCTCTACAAAAACCCCCCGTTGTCCACCTTTTTACAATACAACTAATCTTCTTACTGGAGGTGAGAGGAATCAAGCTGGATACTCCACATATTGTGCTCAATGCCAGCAATGTGAATCAGAACAATATGCTGCAGGAATGAGAGGAGTGAATAAACCGGACGCCCGTGTACTAAGGAGAGTAGCGACTGTGACTCGAGACATTGGGGAGATTGTACGTGGCATCCGCTACTTTCAACGAAAGAATGAGGAGAAGGAGAAATTTCAAAAGATTATCAATGAGTGGCGGACGGTTGGTGGTGTGCTCGATCGCTTATTCTTCATATGCTACCTAATAGCAATCAGTATCACCATCATCATGTACTTCCCACGACCTTCAAGTGATGAGTAAATTTATATAGTACAGTCAATCTTGGAATTCCGATTCTGCCTTATGAAAATTGTACAATATTGGAAAACGTGCAAACTCTCCTCCCCTTCTTCCTCTCCTTATACCTCATCACTCTCGATTGAGCCTCCGCTCAAGATGAAATGTGAATCAATGGAAGAAATAACCTCGCGTGTACGGCTGAATAACAACTCTTATATGGGGACCTGGTGGTTTGAGCTCAATCCCTCCTCTCTCTCTCGTCCTCCTCCTGCCCTTCATGCCCACCTGCCTACCTACCTATCTTCCAAGTTACCCCCCCCCCCCCCCCACCCAATCGTCCATGTAGCTAGATCAAAGGAAACTTTCTACACCCTTTCTGCCTCCTCTTTACTTAATTATTAACCCCTCAGATGCTGTTTTGATGATTTCAACTGGTGAAGGGTTGCTCCTTAGCCATTGGTGGATCAGCCAATAACAATTTTGAATAATGAAATTGAAAGTTTGCTTTACTATGCCTCTTCAAACTGCTATATGGGTGAACTTGAAAGTATCATGAAATTGAAATCCATATTGAGAAAGGGTTAATATGCAGGTGTGATTTGGGTGGCATCACAAGATATTTTACTACTCGTAGAGATGGACGTATTGACTAAAATAAGTATATGACAAAAACTGGCCATATCCGGAAGTCTTGAGTCAAATGCAGTTTCTCTTGTATTTTCAGCTTTGAACAGTCCTTTACATTCCAAATGAACTCAATCTTGCATACCATTATTGATTTAACAATAAGTCTGAGGACCAGACAACGAATTTGTATGCACAAAAATGGGAGTCCATAATAGCTACGCAATTAAGTAGACGCAATTGTTTCATTAAGCAACCATTAAATTGCAGCAACATTCTCCACGTAGTGTAATGAGCAAAAGTAGCATGTAGGAAATTTAGAATCCGCCACGTTCTCTAACGGCAATCATAAGCCATGAATTTTCACAAATTATTCTGGGACTGACGACGATTGATTGATGCCTTCGTGCCTGCCAGTGTAAAGAATGTATAGTGTGTTTCTATTGATATTCTATCTGAAGTGTGCTATTAAAAGTATGGCAGCGCTGTATAGATTTGCTTAGTTGGAATGATGTATAAGTAAATTTACGCTTTTAATTACTTAAGAATTTTGTGTTAAGTTAATCCTTAGTATCGTAACAATCTTATCACTAACTAATAATGATTTAGAACAAGCGATCTATGACCCTAAAAGTCGTTATTATATAATGGAAGATGGGGTTAATATTGCTGATAGAAGTGACTGTGAGTAATCAGTTCAAACACTAAGCCCCCTTATCTACATGGAACTAAGGTGCGTTTGACTTGGAAGAGAGGGATGTTTTTGAATTGCTGATAATGCATAGATTAGTCACACCATGGTTATTGCGGTATGCATTACAGCTCTCCCCTACTTTTCAAACGCTCCCGGTATTAAGACAATAACAAAATATCTTATATGCGTCATCATCAAGGCCTTAAATTTCCACCCTCATTGCATCTTCCTTTAAAATGTCATGAAGTGCCTTAACACGTCCGCTCAATTGGAATACAATGGTTGTGTTTATGGACTCAATTTACCTCAATGCAATTAGCCAATAGTGGGCCTAGATTGAAGTCAGTGAATGAGTTCATAATTGATGGTAGAATAGAATGAAAAATGTTTAAAGAGAGTTTTTTTATCCCGTAAGCTAAAAGATTGTTGTCAGTTTCATCACTAATACGTCTCCTCCCCCCCCCCCCCCCCCCCCCCCCCTCCATCCTCCCATCAAAATGAAAAGAATATGAGGTGATTAGGCCAATGATTCTCCAAAGTCCAGAAAGTCGAACAGATTCATCATCTAAAAATCAGGAGTATTGTAATCAAAGCGTAAGTTTGTGGGAATCGCATGTAACTGATCATTTTTTTAAATGATGCGAAGCAAACCTTACTCCTCCTGCTGTATAGTAAAAATATATTTCAAAATTATGCAGACAAATTTAAATATTTAATTTTTTCCTGATGTTTTTCATAGCATTTAAGGCTTTGTATGTGGCATATAAAAGGGTTTAATGAATATGAGCTCTCAGATTTAAGTAGAAAAAATGTGATATTGTTAAGAAGGTAATAAATTATAAATGAAGTAAACAAAGTCCTGAATTGCTGTGTGCATGCAACTACCGCTAGCAAAACTCCTGAACATTATTAAACTCAATGGACCTGTTTATATTAATATTGGCTATTGTAATAAAGCATGACCAACCACTGAGTTTAGGTCAGTAGTTGTAATTGATGAGTCAGCTAAAAGGAATGCATTTGCAGAGTAGACGGACTTTTGGTTCAAGCGTCTGTTTTCAGAAGGTAGTTGATGGAGAAAAAAGCCTACTATTGAATAAGGGTTGAAAATAGCATAGTTTTTTTTCATACCTATAGGGGTTATATCATGCTAATTTGTTGCTATCAGAGGAGGATGACATGCTTTCAAGTGCGCTACCTTTAATATGCTGGGGTGTTACGTTTTATTCAAGACTTACGTAAGGTGGCATATGCCGTAGAGATAAAGATGTTGAGAGCGACTTAGAGAATGATTGACATTATCATCATCATCATCATCATCATTCATAGTAGTTTAAATGACTTTTCTTTTCAAGAGTAGGAGGTGGAATTCATTTGGGAAAAAGTTCCAAATAAGCAAGAAAGGTAATTATTCATGGAGAGAATAATGAAATTCTAATAGTATTAACTAATTCTGAAAGTGAATTTAGTGAAATTTTGTTTGCCCGCAATGTCGATGGTGTTGGGCAACACAATCTCATGAATGTTTATTAATTAGCTGTAGATTTGGAGAACTTTACTCACATATAAATTTGCTTGAATGTGCTAAGATGCGTTCTATCAAAATACTGGCAATCAACCCCCCTCCCCGTGAAGTCAAATGCGCATCCTACTCTCATCTTAGATCACTAATGTCTTCCCCTCCAATTAAGATGAAAAAAATAGTTCTGAATGATATTGCAGCTACCTTATAAATAGCTACGATGTAGCTAAATATTTAATACCCGGGGATATACATCATAAATGCAAATTGGTGCATCCTCACCTTCTTAGTTATCCAAGTCAACAAAATTAAACTTTTTCCGTTTACTGGAATTCCAAATTTCTTTCCTTCACCATCGTCCTCTAGCCTGAATGAGGAAGCTTTTGCAAAATTTATTCAGGCTCTTCGCTTTCAAATGCAAACCGATGCTATTACCCTCTTGCTGTCCACTACCTCCCGGCAAAGTGCTTCACCGAGAGCAGCTCTTTCAGAAAGTGAGTCATTTCCGCGAAATCTTCCTGGTTGGTTCATTTTAATTGCACCTGACATAAAATTGGCTTTATTACTAAATTTGATTATGAGTAGATGATAAGTATGAAAGCTAAATTAGGGCGGCGTAGTTAACTTATACAGACCTCTGCTGGTCATAAAAAAGTATGTATTCATCAAAACTGAGTGTATTTCAATTGCTGTAATTGTTAAATTAATGAAAATGCTGGTAAATTTTACTTGAAACATTCTATCTTTAAATTAGAGACGAGTATATCAATTGCTCCTATTGTAATATTTTGCAATCAAAAACCAAAAACAGATAAAACATGGATTGAATAGTTCCCATCCTACAAAATTGTGTGAAATTACAATAAATGGGAACCTGTTCGCTGACGGATGCAGATCAATCATACTCAGACCCCGGTGTCCAAAAGATAGTTTACCAACTAGACAGAGTCCGAGAGCTTGAATTGTTTTTTTTTATTTTGTGGTTGTTCCCAGATCTAATCTAAACTGCGTAGTTCAAAGTAAATTAATATCGGGAGATGAGAAAAAAATTCACTGTCTTATTGGGGGGTGGTTTGTAACTAAAAAATTTTATAAATTAAAACGAAATTCAATATCCAAAACAAAGTGAAATTATTGTCAGATGGTTTGACTCAAAATAACCGCCATCAGCGTCTATTGAAATTACGGCTCCGTCGTAGCTTGAGGCACGCTGATTTTACACTTTCACTTGATCAAGGTCAGACAAAATCTGCTTTCATTTTGACAAGATGACTGGCATCTTTCTCGACGGCGCTCAATGCATTAATAAAAATCCATCAAGCTAAATTTTGGAGAGGAAAGGAGAGGGGTGGGGTGGGGTGGGGGGGGGGGCTGAAGAGCTCTGAGACATGACAAACATGAGGACTGGTGCAATAGGAAAAAAATGAGCTGACAACCATTTATGACTTCGTCCTGAGAAGTGGCAAGTCCCAAATCACCTGCCGCCATACATATGGTATGCCATATCGTTTTCCAGGATGTTTCACTTTGGCCAGAAGTTTTTGTGGCTTTGTCAGCCATTTAGATGGAAATTTGTGGTATGAATTTGGCCTCTACGGTACTTATCAAAACTTGCAGTAGGGAAAGTCTTGAGTTGATGTAATCTACCTAGTAGAGGAAAATTAATAAATGTTTGAAACAGTTAACATTATTCTCAGGCTAATTCAAAACTTTAATTTTGCCTTAATGAAGCATTTAAAAAGTTGTTTAAACGCTCACTTTATCGCCGATTTCTATTAATATTATTCCTTGATATAACCAAGGCATCTTGCAGCGAGTGGAACTGAGGATGTCATGCTTTCTACCCCATTTATCTTGTCAACATTGCCAACGGGTTATAAATCATTTTGTGAGACCCACATGTTCCTCGTCGTTATTTTTTTGGCATCATTTTGGCTATACTCAGATCAAGCTGAACAGCTGATGTAATTAAATTACGGGTCATTCCGCATTGATACAATTTGCCCTTACAAACATCAATGAGTTTTTAATGCTTACTAGCAAAGCCACATAAGCACATCAAAGCTTAATAGAGCACTGTCAAATGATTTTTTTAATAAAATGTAAATTTACATTACTCAGTTTTATGCTAAATAGCGAAAAGTTGAGGTCAGTAAAAAGCTAAAGAAGTGATGGAAATGA